TGTTGGTGCGGCAAAGGGTGAGACTTATCTGTCAACTTTCCTTGTATATTGGTTGTGCAAATTTGTTCAACCTCGTGGGGATGGCGACTTGATTAGACCTGGGGTGTTTAAGGTTGCTAGTATGATGACTCGTGGTCGTTCATTCAGCCTTACTATTCTTGTAATTGCTAGCATCTACAAATGGCTGAATATAATTGTTTTTTCTTCTGATCCTAGAAAGTGCGACGCCATTTTCCCGATCTATTGTGTTTACGCTTGGTTAGCAGAGTATTTCAACACACATTTTAGTATTGAATCTGCTATGAAGCCTCGAATGACGAGATATACTGGTGAAAGGATGGCCAAACATTTTGAGGAGTTAGAGGCCTATAACTTATTTCGATCATGCAAAAATATGACCTTGCACTGTTTGGCGTGTAGTGAAGGTAATCCCAAGGAATTGGTTGATGACGGTCATCTTTCTAACTCAGATTTAGAGTATTTCATCAATATCCGCTCGAGCTACTTGACTTTGCGAAGTTCATCTGCTATGGTCATTAGGCTATACATTCCTCACAGGTTTAGCAGGCAATTTGGTTTTATTTAAGCCATCTCGGGTAAACTTAAGTTGATCTTCGGGATGGTAATTTATAGAACATTATTTAGCATTGGGATTCTTGTGTTCGTGATGGTACCCATTTTATATTGAGATTACCAGCGCATTTTGACTTCCCATCTCGTTCCACTACTAAGACCTATTTGGAGTGGTAGTCCTAGCTTTATGCAGGCTATTTCTCTAACAAAGAAAATTCTATCCCAAGGAGCAAACGTTCGGCTTCATCGAATCAAGAGATGGTTAAAGTGAAGAAAAATACAATTGCTTAGCAAAATTCTAATCCCAAGACCAACGAAATGGTTCGAGGAAGTGTTGATAGAGCTCTTGGTGGAGTAGCAGACGAGGACCATAGTCACGGTGATCGTAATTAGCGTCACTTAGGGAGAAAAGCTGGTACTGGCACCGTTGGAAGGAACACCACTAGTTTTAATGATATGGAGTCATTTTTTATCAGCGTTCCTAGCACTTCTCAATCAATGGCTTCCAGTGTTGTACCAGTAATGATAAAATCAATATTTGTCATTTCAATTTATTGTGGTCTTTTTTTTTTTAATTATTATTATTATTTTTTAATTTTTTATGAATCCTCTTTTAACTCATTTTGACAGTTGGCAAATGATGACTTTGACTTGGTGTCTGGCAATGAAAACATGAGACTTCTTGATAAGTTCTCAGATAATGAACAATCAGTTCATGGGCCATTAGCCTTTGATTTAGTGATTGTCATAAGAGTTATCTCTCAGTTGACTCAGCTCCAATTGTTCAAACTTCTTCCTTACCTATTGCTCCTGCACGGAGTCAAGTTGCACATTCAGTGGCTTCTACCATTGATACAAGAAGCATGATCCTTTATGCTCGCCGCTGCAATTAAGATACGAAATAAATGCATAAATAATTAATTTTATTTGATTATAATAAAGGGGTACGATTCTTTGTGGTTTGTTCTATTATAAAAGAACAAATCCTCTAATTCGATTTCCAAAATGGGCATAATTCAACGGCCGTAAAAGCTTGTTGTTGAATTAAACAAGTTGATGAATTTCTTCAAGTCTTCGAATGGAGCAACTTGGAGAAAAAAAGGCTTGATCGAAGGCTTGATAGGTTTGATCTCGAACGAGTCTTGAAATGACCTCTTTAAAAAGAGAAACCAAATTTGCATTTGTAACTTGAAAGGATTAACACAAGTTTGGAGTGTTTAATAATCATTTCTTTTAAGTTTGAGGAACTTTAGAGAAAATTATAAGAAGAGAATTTGGTAGTCTTGAGATTGCTTAGGAGCTTACAAGACCATTAGCCAAAAAAAAAAATGTCTCCCTTTCTCCCTAATGAGAGCCTCTATTTATAGGCTTAATAGGAGAGGGTTAATTTTGGAAATTCTAAAATTGACTCTAATTTTCAAGAAACAAGCAATTTATTTCTTATTTTATGGACATGATTTGCATTCAGATTTAAATTTAAATTTGAATTATTCTGCTAAATTTTGACAAATTTGGGTTGATCCAATTGTCAAAATAGGTTCACTTTTGTTTTGGTGTGACTCATAATTTAAAAAATAGGTTAAGATTCATAATTTTAATAAAACCCACATCCATTTAAAAATTTTGCCATCTTAATTTTGACCAATCAAAAAAATTTATTTGTTTTGATTAATTAGGCGATAATCAAGACACATAAAAATTTAATTGTCTACAGATATATCTATATATAGTGAAAAGGGCATTGATATATTTATAATTTATTATTATTATTATTATTATTATTACAACAATGCCATCAATTCAGATTAGCATAAGGGTAGTTGAATAGTGTAGGATTCGATTGGAGAAAACTTTTGCACAACCCAAACATGCTCAAGTAAAAGCGGGGGAGAGTATTTCTTTATCCAAATTCTACCCGACTTGTAAATGTAATTATTATATACAGTATGGGTGTGTTTGATTGGGGGATTAGGAGGGGGGACTGTCCACTATTTGGATTGTAATTCAATAGTGCACCTTATCCGTCGTTTGATTTTTTTTTAGTCCGGCGGACTCCATGTCCGGCCGGACTCCATGTCCTCCATATGGGGGACTATCCTGTCCTGGGGGGTGGGACAGAAAGTGGGGGACTAATCACTGTTTGGATTATATGCAAAAATGACCATTTTTGACCCTCTACTATTTAATTATGTATTATATTTAATAAAATTCAATAAAATTTAAATGTCTCAATTTAAAAATAAAATAATTTTATTTAACTTTTTATTGATGTTTTATGAAGGCCTCTTTTGTATTGGGCAATGGCGAGATTGATGGGGCAGTCCCCAATCTAGTTGAAGGTCTCCCAGTAGCGGCTATTGTAGGATTTTAATGACTCTTTTTCGCCCATGTCGATGGAGAGCAGTTGATCAATTTCCACCGGGGTTTTGGTGTTCGTTCTGAACCTTGTTACTTTATTTTTCCATATTCCTAACTATTCTCTCCTTCGTGTGTTTCGGTCTGTCTGTTTTGTCCTTCTTCCCCACAAAGATAGGACCAAACTTAGTGCCCGGTCTGTTCTCTGTGTCTTTTTGGGTTATAGTCCTACTCAGGAAGGCTATAGGGGTTACGACCCTATTTCCTGCCATCTTTATGTCTCCCGTCATGTTTTTTTTCTCGAACGTCTACCTTACTTTTTGCTTCCTCTTCTCACCACCCCAGTTTCTAAAGAGGATTTGATTCGTATTGATCTATTTCCTTCTGAGGTCCCATCTGATGAGTACATCTCGACAGTCCCTCCTGAGCTTGTTCCATCTTCTCCTCCTGCTTCACCTCTGGCTGTTTCTCCTTTTTCAATTTCTTCTTCTCCTCCGTTGTTAGTTTATTCTCATTGCACGGCTCCTCATTTACCGGTTGTCTCTACCCATACTACTAATCCTCCAGCTTGTGACGAGTCTGATCTTACTGCACACCGATATTGTCAAGACCCAAACCCGCTTCTATAGGTTTAGCGTCGTAACTAGCCAGTAATCCTTGGATTACCAAAGGCCTTTTAATAGAATAACATATAATTAGGGGCTGCAGAAGCAAATATACAAAATATACATAGTCCATAGAGCTGTGTAGACATACATGAAACAGAAATTTGAAACTTTATAAAGTATACACATAAGATGCCATGTTCATGTAAGTCTTGCAACACCGTGCAAGCGTCATCAAAAGGGACTTAACCAATTATGCATATATCAAAACAAGACAAAATATAAATGTTCTTAACATGACACACAAAATAACTCTTGACATGGTCCACAAAATTCGACTTCTAGATACGGGAACCTCCTCGAGAGGCACAGTGGCTGGCTGACCCTAAAAATTTCCAAGCACCAGCTTAGGCCTGGTCATGTGCTAGCTCACCTACATGCATAATATAAATAGTGAGCGGGAGCCCAGTGAATAATAATAGAGTAAAGGGCTTTAATGAATGATGTACATACCAGATTCAGAAATCAGAATTCAGATTCATATACATATTCTTGTTCAAATCATATACAGAAATCAGAGTTCATGCTTAATCATACGTGGTGCATCCGTTAGCGCTAACAGAACAGATACAGAACAAATGTAGAACATATGGCGGTTATGAATAACCAGTTCCATAAAGGAACCTCCAGATCTAGGTAACAGATGACAGATATGCTGAGCTCCAAGATGGTGCCTCCGGTATGGGTAACAAAGTGCAGACATATTAAGTTCCATAATGGAACCTCCGATACCGGGTAACAGCTAACATATATCACATAATGCTAAGATGCCACGAGTACATTGTTAGAAATTGGACAATCATTCATTGTAAAGAACATAACATTTTAGAAAACATATCGGCCTTGTTTGGTTAACTCTTAAAATATAATTTTTAAAATTTTATTTAGTTGAAAATTTTTTAAAAAATTTCAAAATCATTTTCTCTTTCCTACACATCAATTAATCACTTTTTTTCTCTTCTCTCTATTTTTTTAATTTTTTTTTTCATACACATCTACTCAGCTACAATAAAATATCAAATCATTCAAAACTCGCACACTCTAAAATTATTTCTAAAATATAAAACCAAACAAATTTAAAAAAATTTCTAAACTCTTTCTCTAAGATTTTTTTTTGAAGATTTATCTTCCAAAACCAAGCTAAACACACACACTATTTTATTATTTTTTAAATTTTTTAAAATTAAAAAAAATAAAAAATAAAAAAATAATTTATAATAACTTTTTAATTAAAATATTTAACGAGAGTCAGATAGTTATTAATATATTTTTTTTTGGTATAACATAATTATCGATATATAATAAACGTTTTACATACATATAATAGTTGGTAAGTTTTACATATTAAATAATTTAAATTATTAAAACGAGTTAGGCCAATATCCAGCACAGCCCTTAATTGAAAAAGAGAGCAGAAACGTGAAACAAAGCAGGAGAGGCAAAAACGGAGAGAGAGAGAAGAGAGAGAGAGGGAGGGAGACGCAGCAGTATCGGCAAGCACCGTCCTCCGTTCTTCATTGTCCTCCACAATCATCGGCCATTGTTGTCTGCCGGAACAAAACGAAGAGAGAAGAAGAAATCTTTTGAGAAGAAAGTCTGTCCTCAGCCATTGTTGTCCGCCGGAGCTCCCTCACGCCATAGATTGAACCAGGTTCGTCCTCTAAACTCTCAAATCTAATTTCAAATCTGAATTGAAAAGTTAGAGTTTTGATTGAGAACTAGATTTGAAATTAAAAAATTACAGCTTTGAAAAATTAGAGGTTTTGATTGTGGTGCTCCGTCTCCTTCTCTCTCTCTCTCTTTCTCTTCGTTTCTTTCTCCTCTCCTATGCTGCTTTGTTTCACGTTTTTCTGCTCTGTTTTTCATTTTTTAAATAATCAAAACGGCGCCGTTTTTAAAACTCTATGAAGAACTATAGAGGGAGGACTGTAGAGGATCCGGATGCGTTTCGAAAACTCCCGCGTTTTGCAAGTCCCTAAAAATGGAACCGTTGTGTTGTTTTGCCAAGGGGCCAGGGAGACACCTGATCACCACTATATATACATGTCCACAATCATTGGCTTATCATATCTGGTACAACGTACGTATGTACGACTTGTCCGACCAATACACATAATAAAACCGCTGTCAGACAACCGCACGTTTGTTTTCGAGATCCAAACCAGTTTCTCTAAGATGAGGAGGGGAGAGCAGCATGGATGCGGAGTGGAACAAGTGACGTTGATACTGGTGGTGGCTGTTTGCCTCATCTTTCTTCCCTTGGGGATGGGTCCAGGGCCGTTGGGGCCGCCACCCCTTTACGTGCTCCTCCTCTTCCCCGTGGTGGCCGCTGTTGTCTTCATTTTCCTTTCTCAAGCCCCCAAATGATCCGCTCATTATTATATTATTACTATATATGTTAGTTTACATAACACACTGTTTTATTGTTTTTGATTTTTGATTTTTTTGTTTTTGGGTTGGAGAATGGCCCTAGTGCTGTAATTCGTGTTTGGAGATTATATGTATCTAATACACAGACACATTTCCTAAGAAATATATATATTTTTTGTTTTTGAATGTGTTGAATGTTTAGGCCTACTTGTTCAGATGTGCATGGTTGTTACTTATTTTCACATGATTGGGTTTTATTGATGGCCATTTCATGCTATTCACTGTTAATGCATCAAGTGCATCTTAACAAATCAGTAGAGTCATATGGAAATTTTTTCAATAATTTCGGATCATTAGTGTGATATTTGATACACACGTGGTATTCTTGATTAATAAAACTACTTCAAAATAAATAAATAATGAGTAGGATTGATCTTGGTCCTACCCATTAGCGAATCAAAGTGGATCAGATCGCTTCTACTAGCTTATTACTACTGCTTTTATTGGTTTGAAAACATCATAGCAATATACTAAGTTGATAATTTGAGAACATTAATTACTCAGATTGTATGGTAATATAATATGGGTTCAACAGTTAATTACGGGTTAAATTTTGTGCTCTTGTTATTGATTTTCAAATTCAGTTAGGCAATATTCTTCTGATCCATTATCAGTTAGATATAACTCATTTAAAGAACAAAATGATCAGATCTCTTTCGAGACCTTCCTTGCTCTGTTCCACAGCAACAACTCTCTCTCACTGCCATTTCTCGAATCGTCTGTTCCTCACTGTTTGATCAAAATCTCTTTCCATTGGTCTTTCAATCACAATTCACTCTTTTTTTTATTTCTTTTTTTATTTTTATTTTTTTCAATAAAATAAAGATCCAAACATAGTGGACGTTAATTTAGGGTTTAGTAACCAATTTCAGTACTTGTTTTTGTGACTTTTTAGGCAAAGCAGATTCAAGGTCCGATTTTGGAGTGCATTCTTGAATTTCAGGTTGATGTTGTCACAACATGTAGTGTTGCAGATGAGCAAAACTACTCACTGGTACGAATGATCACTATGGAGGTGTTATCGTGGAGATAACAACTGAGCCCAAGGACGCTGCTGTGTTTGTTTTTCTGCTCAGAACTTTGGTTTCACATTGGAAGCAACAGGTAGCATTTACATTTTTGTTTGAATTCAACTCCAATTTCTTTGTTTTAATGGCATTCCTATCGAAAATGTAAGTGAAAGTATTCCTTTTGTTGAATTGAATATCAGCTCTTGTTGAATCTTGGTAAGCATTTGCTCGCACTAAAATTGCTTTTGGTAAAAGATTTATGATGGCCTTTTCCCTATGCAATAAATATGCAAGAATTCAGCCTTGAAATGTGCCAAAACTTTAGATTGTTATACGCGAATCACAAAAACAAAGCATTATCCTTACATTGCTTTACTAACAAATAAGTAATTTGATTAATTTCAGTAGATAGGATAGGAAAATAGGCTTAGTGAATTTCAAGAGATAAAGTGATTTCAAGAGATAGACAAGAGATAGAATAGGAAAATACGATAGGAAGTTTACATAACACATTGTTTTGTTGTTTCACTTTTTGTTTTGGGGTTGGAGAATGGCATGAGTACTGTAATTCATGTTTGGAGATTCAATGTATCGAATACACAGACACATTTCCTAAGAAATATATATATATATATATATATTGTGTTTTTGAATGTGTTGGATGTTTAGGCCTACTTGTTCAGATGCATGGTTGTTACTTATTTTCACGTGATTGGGTTTTGTTGATGGCCATTTCAGGCAATTCACTGCTAATGCATGAAGTGCATCTTAACAAATCAGTAGGGTCATGTGGAAAAATTTTCAATAATTTTGGAGCATTAGTGTGATATCTGATACTTATGTGGTACACTCTTGATTAATAAAAAAACAAGAGTAAAAATGAGCGGGACTAATCTTACTCCCAAAAGTGAATCAGATTGATATTACTAGTGTTTTTATATATACTAATCCATTATCTAGTGGTGATTAATTAATTTCCTGGTGGTTAGTTCAGGAAATATGTAGTCCCAGATTAATAAGATCAAGAGTTTTGTCATCACTACGATAAAATTGCAATGAACAAGTTTGTGCTTGATTGGTGTGTATTTTGGATATTGATTGATATTTATTGAGAAGAAAAAAAAAAAAAAAAAGGAAATGTTAAAAAAAAAAAGCTTAAATTTCATTCACATTTTGTTTTCTTTTTCCCTGCAAAATATGTATTCAAATCCAAAATTCAAACACACAACCTTGCACTTATCTTTTACAGCAATAAATTCTCTCAAATAAACTCTACTAATATAGAATGATGTTGCATTTTATACCTTTTTATTTTTCAAACCAAAATACCCATTATTATATGTCATATTTGAATGATTTTTTTTAAAAAAATAAAAAATAAAAAAAAATAAAATTTGTCTTTGCATACTATTTTCTTTTGCTGATAAATCAACACAATGTAAATTTTGAAGCCTCTTTTTCAAATTATTATTAAAACTAGAACTGTTATGACTCATATTTTGAATGATCTTTTTTGTGTGAAAATTATGTTTGGCTATAATTTCTTTGGAGATATATCTACATATTGTTTAAAATTCTGGTATGAATGCCTAAATTATCAAAATTTCCCCCCTTTGATTCCTTTCTGGTGAAAGCTACACATAAAATTCCAGAGCAATAATCCATAACAAACAAATTGATTACATTTATACTTCTATATATGCATCAAAAAAATCGGTGAATTATTACCCTAAATCCTCTTCAACTATTACTAAATATCAATTTATTCTCTCAGGTTTAAAATTGTGTATTTCAATCACTCAACCACTATCACACTTCCATAGTTGATGATGGGTCTAAATGTATAATTTTAAAATTGAGAAAGTAAAATCATTGAAAGGTGTAAAGTGTAATTAATCCTTAAAAGAAGGAGAGAGAGAGAACATGGTGTGGAATTGCAAATGCAATCACCACACAAACAACACAAGATACAGAACGTACAACAAAATAGACATAGGGATAAGAGAGAACAACAGGGCTAACATAGCAGGAGCTTCAGGCTGCATATAGTATGGAAATATCAGTATTGATGCTATTATCAGCACAACCATGAAAAATGTCGCACAATCCCTATTTTCTGCGTTACCCATCTTTAGAGACAGAGAGAGGACAAAGTGGTTTGACAGATTCACCATCCTAGTTATATAGCAAAGGGTACTAATAGGTTAATACCAGGCCCGGCCTCAGATTTTCGAGACCAAAAGTTGATAATCAACTAATAAATTTTTGAGATCCTTCACATATATATATATTTTTCCCATTGAATGAAAAAATAATTTGAAGGTAAAGGACAAAAGATTTGTGTCAAAATCACTAAAAATACTTAGCATTACATTACAATAACTAATAAATATCGCTTTATTCTCTTTCTTATTGCATTTTTAGAAGCAAATAAATCAATCATACTTGCATAATTTAGTTTTTTAGCAAAATCATTTTCAATGGATAACAATACTAATTATTTTAAATGGGCCTTTCAATTTTTAAATGGATCAATTTATTTTAAATTAGTTTGGGCCTTTCTTAATTTTTTTTGGATTTAACACATACCTAATATATTACACTAAATTATAATATGAGAGGACCATTTTTGGGATCTATTTTCAATGGATAACAATATTAATTTTTTTAAATGGATCTTTCAATTTTTTAATGGGTCAATTTATTTTAAATTAGTTTGGGCCTTTTCAATTTTTTTTAGACTTAAAACATACCTAATATATTACACTAAATTATTATAAGAGAAACCCCTTTTTTGGGTCTATTTTGAGGTGTCTTAAGCCATGGCCTGGTCGGCCTAAGCTCAAAGCCGGCCCTGGTTAATACTCTTCAATTACTGTTTTAGAAAGAAACAAAAATAAAAAATTAATGGGGTAGATATGGTGCACAAAGGATTATGATCCTCTTCATTACAAATTTGTAATTATAAGGGTTTGTAATGATTTTTTTTTTCTTAATTTAAAAGGACAATAATATATAAGTCCAATTTTTAAATTCATTTTTTAGACTTAATAATGTGTAAGTGATATAATTGGTTGTTGATTAGAGAATATATAAGAGAACATTATTTTTAATATCCTAATTGATTGTCACTTTACTGGCTTAAAAATTAGGTCTAATTTTTAATTTTAAATAACAACGGGCATGTTGTAATTATAACCAAAAGGAAAAGTGTATCAATTCACTTTTATCATGACAAGGTTATTAAAATTGGAATTTCATGGGGATTATTGGGAGGAGACTTATAAATTGAGGGAAGTGTTTAGGTGTGTAAAGTGCATACCCTATGTATTTATATAAGTTAGCTCATAAAATAGCATCCCTGCCATGTAGGTTTATTATTAGTTAGTGATACTAGTGTTGTGAATATAATGGTATCATCATTGCATTGAATTTTTATTTTTACACCACAAAGATATGAGTCATAACATTCTGATTCATTTGAATTTCATAAACTATTGTTATTAAAATCATGATCTGGATCTTAAATATTATTCAATGATTTAATTTAGGCCAAACAATCTTGGATTGCACATTAGAATCTTAAATTTTGCATATCTTAAAGTAATTATAATCTTAGTCATAAATCGTACTACGATCTTGTTCCTACTATTTTTTTTATTATTATATATGAATATATCTATTTAAAAAATTGACTATAAACTCTTTCTCCAAACATTTTCTCTAATTTATATTAACATAAAATATATTATATCAAATTTATCTTTTTTCTTTAATGATTTTCAAATTATTTAACATACATTATCATTATTGTTAATTTTTCATTTACTTTACATTAAAAATAAAATCTTATGATCCTCAATTCGATTTACAGGCAATTCTTAAATGTTCAAGTACATACCATATGTATTTGTATAAGTTTTTACAAATATACATAAGTTACCTTACAAAATCACGTAAGTTTTTACAAACATACTTAAATTAATCCATAAACGTATATTTGTGAGAACCCCACTTTCAAAATGTAACTATCTTGCCACATTTACCTAGGAGAACAAATAACAAACAATTATTAGATAGTGATACTATATCATTAATATCACTATTATATTACCCCCAAAAAAAAAATCACCTTAAATTTGTGAGGGAATGGAACCATACCTTTGAATTTTTTTTTGGTTGAGAAGTAGGAAAACGAGCAATAAATTAAAAGAAAAACAAAGTACAAGAACAACAAAATAAATAAATAAAAAAAACTAAAAATCTATGTAGGAAACAAAGGGAATATCACAAAACTCTTTATTCTTAACATAAAAAGTCCAGAACTACATTCTAGAGGTGTAAATCTACACTCTAAGAGTGTAAATCTACATTTTAAAAGTGTGAAGAAGGTTATTGGATCATCATCAAAACTTAGCTAGAAATCACCTAAAGATTGAAGCCTTTGCCCCTCTCTCTAGAACTCATGCCCATATCTTTCATTGTTGATACGTGGTTTTGAGACTATTTTTTATTTTATAAACAAATTGACGGTTAAAATCCCAATGCAACTGCCATTAAAAAAGGAAGTTGTGCAGGAAGCAAACTCTTTTCTACACAATTTTTTTAGATAGTGTTTAATTCATTGGAATGAAATGATCATTCTATTAAAATGTTTATTCTCATGTTTAATTGATTAAAAAATAAATAAAAAATACATTACAAATGTAATCAACAGTTATCAAATTGAATGATCATTCAATAGTGGATTTTAAAGAATGATCATTATATTCCATTCAATTTCATTCTATCTCATTCCCATAAATCAAATAGAGCATATCAGATGTGTCAAACTTACCTCCCGCTATGACAAAGAGTGATTCCATAGTTGCAAGACTTGTAACATGCAAGTCGGGACTACATTATTACGGTGAGTTTGGTTACTCTGTCCATAAATTCTTATATCTCTAAGCCTCTCTTATCATGTTGTATAGTTAGAGAGAGAGACGTGAAAGAAGGGACATAAACATTGGGACAAGGACTTAACTTATGACTACGTTGTTAAGGTTGCCAGAGTTTGGTTTTTTTGTCTCAAAATACTTGAGTCCCTATGTTTCAAACCTCTCTTATAATGTTGTACGGTTGAAAAGAAAGGCACAAACACATATTGGTATGAAAAGTATTGTGCCGAGGTTTGATATGA